CTTTATTGGAAAATGTTAATGAATTTTGAAGAGATTTAAGTTGTTCCCTCTATTAAGGTTACTTTCCGATGTAAACTTTCAAAATTCGACTATTGTAAGCTATTGGGCTTTCCCTATAAAAATTAAAAAAAATAACTTTTGTCGCACAGTGTTATTTATTATGGTAGATTTATTAATTTTCATATAAACCAATAGATATGCTACTATAGCCCGAAAAAATTATATTTTTGTTTTAAGAGTCTATTTGTTTTTTATATTGAAGTGATAACCACTCCCCACGTTATTGAATGTATACAATGTGCACATATATCAAAAAATACTCCCTTTCGCCACACCCTCCCATACTTACTCTACACACTTATGTGTGTGTGTCTATAGTTTTTAAGGACAATTCAGGTTCTTCAACATTAACCTGTTTGATCGCGATGCATTAAACTCAACATCATTTCATATCAAATGGGTTTTGTTATGCTAAATTGATTTTGAATGTTTACTGAGATAACGACACACGCAGATACATATGTAGTAACTTTCGATATGTATATACATTGGGCTGTACAGATTTACAAACATCCATGAACATACCGACATATATTTTTTGCATGCTTGCTATACTCATCTCAACCAGCCGCATCTCAATTTATACAGCATACCGAACTTGCCTACCCATATGCTGCCGGTAATTGTTTGCAGGTGTATATGTACATATATAAATGAGTGTATGTGTGTGCATCTTCCTATCTCTCCGTTTATATTTCGATGCATGCATTTAAAGTGCCTTTAAGTGGCAATTAGATACACCATGCATTTAGGTGTCAAAGGACACTTTGGGCTGTCTCCGTCGTTATTGGTGTACACAACTGTAGGGATACGAACTTTTACCCAAACATTGTTGTTGTGGCTTCCTCTGTTTCGATCTTTGTAAATATGTGTGTATCTTGCTTTGCATATTTTGTCTGACTGTGCAATGCAAATGCCATGATAGGAAGACATTTGCTATTAAAATGAATTCAAAAAAAAAAGAATGTTGGCTTTCGAACACTAAAGTTAGCCATTGGTGTAAAGTTTCGAAGTGAAATGAATATTTAAACGATGAGGGGATCTATTATATAAAATCATTGGGCTTTTAAGTGTTCACCTGTTAAAGACACTCTTTGTTTTTTTTTATGGAAATGGACGATGTGAGTACGTAAATTGTGTTCCTAATCATTGAGATCAGCATTTTGTATAATCTGTGCTACATGTAGACGGAATCGGCTCAGTTTAACACAAAACTGTTGATATATGTGACACTGAAAAATTTGTATTCTTGTTCATTTGACGCTATAACACCCTAACACCCATCGAATAAAAATGGAAAATACCATTATTTTACTAAATCGATTCTCCAGGCCCCGTAAATTTTTAAATAGTCTGTATATGTTAGTAGAGTGACTTTATTTTTGAAAGATAAAATGCTTTTCTTTACACTGAAAGGCAATTAATTTCATTTCGTTCGAAGTGTTCCACAAAATTTAAATACCTATGAATTGACTCCTCGAATTTTTAAAACGATCGCCGACATACATTTCGTCGTATTTTCCAACATCGAAATAAAAACGACAGCGTTAGAAAAAAGAGAAACGATGAGTTGAAAAAAATTTATCAGTAAAATTGTTATCGTTCTTTATGTTTGGTTAATTATACATTATAACACTATGTGTTTGAGGTGTTATATTCAGGCCGTAATTATCGTCCAATCTTCACGAAATGTGGTCTGTATCGTGATTTCAACGGGCGGACATCGTTAAATCGACTTAGAATTTCATACTGATATAGAATATATACTATATATGTAAAACAAAACCACAAATGTAATATACCCTTCTTTCCAAGATAGATGGTATAAAAAATATAAATTCAGCCGGGCAGATTTTACAAATGTTTGTGAAATCTATTGAAGAAAGCAAAACATAGTACCATTAAATGGGCGATATACCAAAGCGAAAACCAACATTAACAATTGGTTTGCTACGTTGTTATTTAATCTATTGCTGTATAAAATGTAAAATCATCCGAATACGGAACCTCGTTCGCCGATACCGTTATATGTAGCCTACAGAAAAACATAGACACGAACTTCAAATATTGAATTTTAATATCCGTTGTCATACATTGGTGCTATATATAAAAACATTGAACAATATTTGGTCACAATAGTTGAACTTGTTGAGAATTCTGGATTGGTATCAGAATTTAGAAAAATTCCGTGGAAAAAAGTTCAAAATTATCAAAATATGGAATATTGGGAGGTACCGTTATATCGGGGCTATACGAAAACGTGGACCTACAGGGTGAGATTAGAAAACTGCAAACTATTTCAGACTGCTGTCATTTCTAAGCCACTTGTCCGACAGCTGTTAAAATTATTCCAATGACGGCTCATTGTATTGTTTACAAGCGTACAAAAGCATTTTGGTGAGCATTTAAATGTGAATAAATCGTTTGTGTCTCGTACCATCCCTCGTGACCGTGATATTGGTAACATAGCCCGACGTCAAGGAAGTGGACGGAAGAAAACAGCAACATTAGCAGAGATGGTTCGAAAAGTAAAGAAGCGACTTTATCAAAATCCTGCGTCGCAGTGGCCGAAAAATGGCTCGTGAGCTGAACATATCGCAATATTCCATTCGGCAAATATTGAAAAATTAACTCCAAAAAGTGCAAAAACTTACACCACAACAGAAAGAAAATAGACTCAAATGAGCTAAAGAGTTGCTTCGCTTGGCCGAAAGTGGTGAACTGCCGAATTTGGTTTTCTCCGATTGAGAAAACATTCGTTGTTCAGCAGCTCGTAAACAAAATTATAGTGTTTATTTGCCAAAGAGGTCAGCTGAAAATGCGCATCTTCGGTTGGCCACCAAAACTCAGGCGTCGGCCATGGTGATGGTGTGGGTCGCCATAACAGCCGATGATGGCTCTCCGCTCGTATTAAACGAACATGGCATCAGACTAAATGGCGAATATTATCGCGAAAATATTCTGGAGGGTGTATCAAAGCCTTGGACAAACATTTTGGCCATAGACCTTGAACATTCCAACAGGACTCAGCACCATCGCACTAAGCACGCGCCACCCAAGAATGTTTACAAAATGAGGTACCTCCTTCCTTCATTTCCAGCGCACAATGGCCCCCAAAATCTCCGGATACCTATCCGTTGGAATACTGTGTCTGGAGTATTTTGGAAAGCACGGTTGGCACTAAAAAATACCAAAGTGTCAATCACCTCAAACAAGCGCTTCGCCGGGAATGGGCCAAAATACGGCGGAGCAACATTCGGGCAGAGTGTGACGGTTTCATTGGCCGTTTGCAGGCCATAATTCGTGTCAAAGTTGACCAATTCGATCAAATCTAAACTTATTCGGAAATTTGATGCTATTTCCAACATATTTTGCTTTCATTCAATAAAAACAAAATTAAAAATTATGGCATTTGACTTTGTAGCAGATTTTTTATCTTACCCTGAATATACCTTCCTTCCATGGTGAAGGGCATAAAAATGTCAGATAAATCTGATTTCCTCTGTCGGTTTAGCAAAATATTTTTCTTGTTCTCCCTCACAAATTGACAATTCACGCTAACATTTTGAAACTGCTCTAGGAATTTTCTTAGTTTTAAAATGGGATTAACGATGAATATATATGTTATGTAACGGGGAACACACTGCCTTTGTCTTTTTTGGTAGATACTACTTAAATTTGGCCAAGTTTTTTGTGAGTAAATTAGTTTGAAGTCGGTGATGTCAATAATCACCAATTCTCTTGAGGCTGTCATGGCTCGAAAAACTACCTTATAATTTTTTATTTTATTTTTCGTCATCAGGTACCACCATTACACGTCCTGTTAAACGCTCTTTTCAGCCCAACTGGCTACCTTTTTAGTTCGTTTTAATTTATTTAAATATTCCTCCACACATATGCAGGTCCTTAAATAACATATTCTGCATTAAATATCACTACAAACTGTCAACAATTCGAAAATCTCTTTGAATACTAATGCGGCACACTAAATGTCATATAAATCCTAATGCAAAATCTCGGCAACATTGTCCGTGTAATGGCGATTACAATTTCATCAATTTGAAATGAACTCTTTAACAACGGAATCAAATAATGCCTATCAGCTAGTCGGTCGGTCCGCCATTCACTGCGCCCATGTTTACTCTCTCAATATTTAAATCTAATCGGCTTAACTTTTTGGCCTATGCCATTGATAGATTACATTTTCTATTTTATTTTAAATAGACGTGTTTAGGCTTAAAACGTATGCACTTTAGAAAACATCACTTTGAATAGATTGTTTAAAATATCAAATTGAGTGTTTAAATTTTACAATGAGTTCAAGCCAATAAATGTTAAATTTGCAGGCCTATGCGGGAGATAAACAAAGTATTGAAGATACTGATTGTTTTATTGATATCCTGCTATTTAACCTTCCATAAAGATTACAACATTTTAAAACAAAATCCACAAAAATAAGTTTGCAAAAAAAGTGAATGAGTGCTTAGATTATGGGAGAAATAGTTTACAGTGTCAACAACTAATTTAATAATAGCGGAAAAAACAGGCAAGTCAACTTTTAGTTCAATCCATTACGGGAAAATAAAAACATTGGAAATATTCCAGGATGCAGTCATTTGCAATGTTTTTGAAACACATGACATAATGCTTGCAAACCCAATTTTGTTGTAAAATATATTTTAAACCTCATACTAATCGTAATATTTAAATAATTTGAAATAAAAGTTCCAAGGCAAAATTCTGCGCAAGACATAATACCCTATTTAAATATTTTGTCATTGGGCTACACATTGAATTAAAACATTTATATATTTATATCTTTTCTGAAATACTGATGAATTGAAAGAGAAATATATGTAGTTTTGATTCAGTTTGCATAAATCCCCGTAAATCTTCGTTTAAATTGTTAACACTTTATTTTTGTTTTCACATATTTCCAGGATATATGGCAATGACACATTCACCTTACATCTGGATCACGGTCGGGGTTTTGGTAAAGCATTCCATGACGATTTAACAATATTGGCGCCAGTTTTACAATGTTGTATGCTACGTAAATCAACTGTTAAAAAGCTATTAGAGTAAGTATGAAATATATTTTTCATTGATTAAATACCCTTTATTTAAAATTTAAAAGAAACAAAGCCAATAACCGTTTGCGAAGAAGATGGCAGTATTACTTTCAACTTTATTTTTGGTATAAATTAATTGCGAGGGCGATTCGGAAACATCTTAGCTTATCAATGAAAGAAAATAGTTAATTTTTTCAAATATATATATTTATTTTTCCTGAAACTTCAATACACCTATTCCAACGCTTTTCCAGCAATTAATTAAAATTATTTTTTTCAAGATCTTCAAAATAGTGGTTTACAACTGTAAATGCGTCTTCATTTGAGGTAAAACGCTAGCCAGGAAAGATTTTTTTTTTAGATTTGGGAACAAGTAAATGTCACTGGGAGCTAAATTAGGTGAATAAGGTTGGTGTTCAAGCAACTCGTACTTTAATTCGTTGATTTTAGACATTGTTAAAGCACTCTTGATCCAAAAGGCTGCAATAGTACTCTTAATTTATTGTTTTACCCTTTTGCAGATAGTCAATCAATAAAATACCTTTGAAGTCCAAAAAACCCGTTGTCATAATCTTACCAGTAGATTGATTTTTTTTGCCTTCTTTTGGACACTTCCTCCAGCTTCAGTCCATTGTTTGGATTGTTCTTTTGTCTCTGGAATATAGTTGTGAATCCATGTCTCATTTACAGTTATGAAACGACGCTTAAAATCCATTTTATTTCGTTTAAACGACCCAAACAAACTTGAGAAATGTTCATTCTTATTCGGTGTTGATCGACTGTTAACAAATGTGGCACCCATCTTGCAGAAAGCTTATTCATCTGTAGTTCTTAATGCAAAATTAAATGGACTCGATCATTAGAGGTGCCCATGACATTAGCAATTTCACGCACTCTTATTCGTCGATCATTTAATACCATATCATGCACTTTGGCTACAATTTCTGTTGTTGTTGCTGTTTTTGGACGTCCACTACATGGTTCATCTTCAACGAAGTACAACCACGTTTAAATTCAGCAACCCAATTTTTTACTGATGCATACGAAGGCGCACTTTCCCCTAACACATTCATCATATCATTATGAATTTCTTGTCAGTACGCATTTCTAATTTGTCCATTGTAAAACCAGTAAAGAAAGTCTTAAAGTCGGGCGGGGCCGACTTTATGATACCCAACACCACTTTGCTAATTTAGTAGAGCTGCGCATAACAATTAAAAGTTTTTATGGGAGAATTCAATCATACACGCTATGATTATAATTATAATTCAAAGTTCAAAGGACTAAATATGCCGAAGCATTTGTATCTTTTAAATTCGGACTTGTATTGCCCATTCGGTGCACAATTAATTTGAAATCGGATAAAAATATATATGGGAGCTATATCCAAATCGGAACCGATCTCGATAAAATTTGACAAAGATATTTCTGAGCTGTATTTGATATATTTCCCAAATATTGTTGTTACGGAGTGCATATTACAGCTGTGGGTAACAAATATGACAAATCGGATGAACAGTATATATGGGAGCTATATCTATATCTGAACCAATCTTCACCAAATTTGACATACTAGCTTCTAGACTCAATTCGGTCGTAAGTGCTAAATTTCATTTAATTTGTGCAAATATTAGACTTTTGGTGCACAATAAAAGGTAAATCGGACGAAGTTATATATGGGAGCTATATCCAAATCTGAACTGATCTAGATAAAATTTAGCAAATGTATTTCTGAGCTGTATTTGATATATTTCCCCAAATATTGTTGTTACAGAGTGAATATTACGGCTGCGGAGGGCAAAAATAACAAATCGGATGAACAATATATATGGGAGCTATAGCTATATCTTAACCGATTTCGATCAAATTTGGCATACTTATTTTGAGGTCCAATCTGCAAAATTCCATACTATTCGGACTGATATTACACGTTTGGTGCAATTTCAATAGGGTTCGTCCTTGGGCCAAACAAATGATTTGTGCAAAATTTCATCTGGATAGGACAATAAATGCGAACTGTACTTTGTTTACAAAAATACATGGACAGACGGACGGACGGACGCACATGCATAAATCGACTCAGAATGTGATTCTATGCAGATCATCAAAAGGAACTATGGGTCTATCTCGTTTCCTTTTGCCTGTTACAAACAAATGCACAAAGACATAATACCCTGACCACCTTGTGGTGTAGGGTATAAAAATTGCGGATGCGTCTTTTTCAACACCTGTTTCTATATGTAGGAGTTGTCAGGTCGAAACAAATGTTAACATGTGTTCATAACAGGGATGAAAGTTTCCAAAACACTCAACTTTTTTCTGTTTATAACGCGCTTTTTGTGCTAGGCTAAGAAGTTTCCGAACTGCCCTCGTTCTGAGCACAATTTTAAACTTATTGATTTAATGATGAACTATTGTGGGGAACTTAGAAAGATAAATGGATCGATTATTCGTGTCAAAAGAAAATGGATGAGATTCTATGAGATATTCTTATTGATTCTAAATGCGATTTTCAAATGTTTGATTTATATTCAAATATCAGTATTCATTTTCTTTGGACATACATAAAAATGTCTTTTTCTATTTTTTTTATACCCTACATACTCTAAAGAGTAGACCGATCAACATAATCACTCTACATGCCGAAATTATAGGCAATTTCTACTTTATTCTACACCACACTGTGTTACTGGATGTTATGTCTTTGTGCATTTGTTTTTAACATGATTCATTTGTGCGTCGATTTATGGATGTCCGTCCGTATGTCTGTCCATGTATTTTTATCAACAAAATGCAGATCAAATGAATAGTCCGATTTAAGTAAAATTTTACACAGGTTATTTGTTTGACACATGGAGGAACCATATTGATATTGGTGATAATCGGTTCAGATTTGGATATTTCTTCCATATATAGTGTCGTCCGATTTGATGAGTATTATTAGTCCAAAGCAAATTCATTTTAGAATACATGGCCATATTTAGTCCATTCACATCACATTCGCAATACGCACTCCAAGCAATAATACTTGGTACCAGATACATCATACAATTCAGTTTCGGTTAATGTTATTTGGTGCGAGAGGAACAAAGTCGATTCAAAGTTGGAGGTACCTCCCTACCGCTATGATTTCAAATTATAATTGCTTTACGGCCATAATACGTATTCAAAAAAGATTAATAGTTGGCATTGATTCCCAATATAAATATTTATTGGTTTCGGATAGATTAAGTAGGTATGCTTGGTGGTGTAGGGTGTCATATAGTCGGCCCCGCCTGACTTTTGACCTTTATTTACTTTTTTTAATTTGACATAAATCGTAAAAACAATATACTGAGTTTATGAAGTACTTAAGTACTTCAAGCAATGCTTATTATTGCACATACATTTATCACTGATATTTGGTGACCTTTTCGCACAGTCCCACTATCGTTCAAATTTTTAAAATTATCTTACCTTAAACAAAGCAAAAATGAACAATATCGGCCCTCTATCTTGTACCTACCACACAATGAGGAAATTTTCATATCTTTTGTATTAAGTTTCATCATTTATCTTTAACATTCACGCTTCCCAGTAGTTATTCCAAAAAAGAGGACAATAATTCAAAAAATCATAATTAAATTAAAAGTTTATATGATCTATACTATAATACGAAATTGTACAATAATTCCACATTTTCGTCTCTTCCCTTTCTAGATTCCACAATGGCCCCCGGCCCCTATCCGAAGTGATGCGTGAATCAATGCTTGTGGATCCTGTCAGTCCTGTACTATGGGAACCTCATTTGGCTGCTCTAGATCGACGTGTTGGCATTATTCTGCAAGGTGTACGCGATTGTGTCAAGAAAAATCCACCAGAAGAGATGGAGGGTTCCGAGGACAATGTATCATCATAGCGATGAAAAAATAAACTTCTAGGCAATTCATATAAAACCAAATTGTAGACGTTAAGGCAATCTAACATAGTTAACGCCAAGAAAGAAATAGGAAAAAAAAAACAAAACATTAAGAAAATCACGAAAAAATACTACAACAATAAAGTTCCCTCAAGAAAAATTAGATTATTAATTTAGATTATTAGATGAAATAGGTTTTTTTTCGTTTGTTTTTGTTAAACAATAAATTGATGTAGACATAAATTTTGTTAAACACATCCACACACATCATAATTCCCATATAGAAAAAATTATCCTTGAAATTTAGTAAAAAGCCCATAATAAAGGAATTTTTCTAAAAAGTTCCTTAAAAAAAAGAGGCAAGCTCTCTATTACAAAAAGAAAAAAAAAAAACAAACAATTAGTAGCAAATGGAAAATACATAAGAAATTTAAGCTCTCAAAGACCCTTGTTGCAATTAGTTTTAAAACGAATTAAAAATTAATCAATAGAAATTAGTTTTTATGTAATACACAAAAAATACCAATAACAAAAACCACACGTAAAAGCTTTAAAAGTGATACATGTTTTAAGTCGAAGGCAAAGAAAATATCAAGTGTTTTTAACAAAGAATTTTTGTTTTATTTAATTTTTTAACTATAAACAAAACAATGTCTTCTTTGTCCCTCTCATAAATGAAAGAACGCGTGACTTTAGTACCTTTTTTGTGAAGAAATAAAATGTGAAAACATGTTTTATGATAAAAGATAAGTTTTGATCTTGTAAGTGAAAAAACTTGGCAGCTATATTATTTTTGGGATATTGTGTTTTTTTTTTAAGTTTTATAGTTGAGGAGAGGAGGAGAACACTCAGTGTTTAGAGCTTTAGATGAAAAATGTAAAACAAACAATTTCGTAAAGATATAGTTTTTAAACCAAATGAGAAAAAAAACACAAAAAAGACTACATTCTTTAATTTTTAAAATATTTACAGACAACTAATGTAAGCACTATATTTCATTAAAATTTATGAATACATAATATATATTAATATAATGTTAAAAAATTATTATATATATATTTTTTTTTGGAAAAACTGTGCTTTGTTACTTGGAAAGTATATTATGCCCGGAACAAGTAGGTAAATGCTTTGGAAATGTTGAAGTTGATCACTTAGAATATTGAGTTTTTTTTGGAGATAAGGAATGAGTGAAACATTTTCCCTTGAATGTAGTACCGAAGAAACTTGTCAGTAATATATTATATTTTCAAAGTGCTTAACATTCTTGAAGATGAACTATAGGCCGCTTACTTTACACTCATCAATCCTCGAACACTGTAGAAATATAAAAGGTAAATTTCCAATTTCCGCCGGTGAATTTGGGATATAAGCCAACAAAAACTTGAGAGATTTCTGAACCAACAGATGTAAGGCCTTGAAACACTCTTTATGTTCTCAGCAGTGTTAAAGTGTGTGGTGTGTTTGAATATGGTTGCGAGTTCAATAAGAGCTTATAAAAAAACTTTCATTTCTACATTTTTAACTGACTAGTAATAACCACTCGGGTTGCCTGAACTTGTAAAAAAATGGGTTGGTGGATTCTTTTGTAGTTAGTTACGACTGCCACAACTTGCTTAGGAAACTCATTGGTAATGGAAATTGTTGCTGGGAAGTACAGTAGAATTGCGCCTACGTCGCACAATGATTCAGATGTAGATTATTATAAATTAACAAGACAAGGAACTGGGAAGGAACCAGAAGCAGTGCTCTGCCCACGATAGGTCCACGTTATCGTATAGTCCCGATATAACGAACACCCCATATTCGGTATTTTGATGATTTCAGCCAAATGTTTCAATGGAATTGTCCACACAAGGGATTCTTTCCGAGTTCTTTACCGCCTAGAAGAGAATTGTCTACATAGATCCATGTTTTAGTATAGCGCCCATACAATGGTACCCCCAGATATTCGGTATTTTCATGATTTTTGCGTCATTATTCATGGGAATTGTTTTAAATTTCGTATGTAAAGTTCGGAACCGTTACTACAGCCTATATACCACGTCTTCGTATAGCCCCTTCATTTGAGCGGTTTTTTTTTGACGGAATTTCTTTGAAATTTTTTAAGTTTCTTCCAAATGGTGGAGGGTATAAAATGTTCGGCCCGGCTTCTGTTGGTAAAAAATATTGATATGTGTGAAATTTTAAGACAATCGAACGGTTATTTTACATTTTATAGAAGGTATGATTCTTCACAACTTAATCCCATTGTGGGAGAGACGCTACAAGTAGTAGGCCGATATAGTCCATTTTCGCATCTGACCTATGATGCGAAAATAAGTTGAACTAATATGGTTTACCTTTTCTAATTCTATGAGGTAAAATATTTTCCTTGAAAATGTTGAGTTTTTGTGGAGAAAGTTCCAGATGGAATGGACCGATAATGCCCGTAATTTGAAATAAATAATCATAATCCCTTCTAGAGTTATTGTGCATACCAGCCGGACAAATGGACGGACAGACACCATCAGATCGACTCCGAATGTCCTTATACGAATCTCTTCCAAATAGACCTATGGTCTAAAGCCGTTATATCGATGAGGTTCGTTTTGGTATGTCAAGTAATATATACCCTCTGTAGTCAAATGGCTGAAGGTATAAAAAGGGCACAGTTAATAGAATATCAGACAGAAGAATATTTTACAAAACATAGGAAGATGTTTTTCTTAAGGAGCACGCTACAAAGTTTTTGGATATTATATTTTTATATGTTTATAGTTTTGACATCGATGTATGAAATAACACGGCTTATAGCAATCAAAAGAGCGCTTATCCGTAGTTTAAAATCGCATCATCATTTCCTAACCTCAATATCTGGAATATGTAATTTGAGGCACTAAAAAATTCCATAGGTTAAAGTTTCAAAATAAATCGAGCACAGTTTTTCCTCTTTCTCATTATCTTATCTTTAATTTATAGGTTGAATTTCACATCATTTATGATTTGTAGTAAATTTACATAAATAGCTTAGTTTCGTACCAAAGAAATATCAATTAATTTTTGAAATTTCATGATTTTCACAATTCCTAACTCAATACAATTTCATTTTGGGCATAACTTATCCATGCCTTATGTCTTTGGTCAAATCATTTAACACGAACAACATAAATAAAAGTTATTATTTATTTTTAATTACAAACATAAATACTATATTTTATAATTGAAACACAAAGAACATACATTCACACAAGTCCATAAAACAAGAAGAAGAAGCTGAAAAAAAAACAAAATACATTTGTAAAGAAGAAAAAGCCCGAATAATATCCTTTCTAACAAAAGTACCTTCTTATGTGTATGTTTGATGTAAATAATATATAATTATACATGAAATATTAATATTTTAAATTTAGCGAAAAACAGAAAAGTAAAGCAAACATATTTTACATATTTTCACATTTCACATCTTTATATTCAAAAAATTAATTTCTATCACATATTATTTTATGTATAATAATATTTCTTATTTTTGTAATTAACTATTTAAAGACATTGAATTGTTGTAGTTTAAATTGACAATGAAACATAATAATTAAATATTTACATTTATAAAATGTCAATGTTATTTAATTGTAATTGTAAAATTACTTTTTACTATACATAAACAAAATATATACATATATTCATATATACAGAAATATATATGAAGGACTATAATATCTGATACAATCATATATTATAATAAAATATATAACTATTATGTACTAGACAATTTAAATAATTAGCACTGTTGCAAAAAATATTAAAGAAATCTATATAAAAAACACCATCAACGAAAAACAAAATCCAAAAAAAAACTAAATAAAATATAATATTTGACTGTTAAACAAAACTCTACTTTTTGTTTTATTTCGAAGAGCATATAAAGTTATAAGAGAAGATTTCATCGAGTAACGACACAATATGTTAATTTAAAAATTGCAATTGTAAAATCAACATTCTCAAACAACTATTTCAATTCACCAATTTGAATTTTGAGCTTCTCTTTTGGAATTAAGAATACGAAAAAATGTAAAAAATAAAAAGAAAGGAAATAAATAAATAAAAATTAAAATACACATGCTCAGCACATTAAACTGAAGTTCCCTAATAGCAGACATTGAACAGTGGGTTCAAACTATAAAAGACGATTCAGAAAAAGAAATCACCAGAGCAAAAATAGCTAATAGAATATCGAACTATAAAAGAAATATATATAATAGCGACAAAGAAAAATATATATTAGCAATGTTTGAAGACACAAAAAAGTTAATAAAAGAGATTGGAGATAAAATCATAGTTACATCATCGGACAAAGGAAACAAAACTGTTATTCTTTATAAAGAGGAATATATACAAAAACCTAATGCATTGCTAGAGGACAAATCAACCTATAAGTTAATTCGAGAAGATCCAACAACAAAACTCCAACGATTAAACAATAACATAGTAGCTGAACTTCACAAGAAAGACATCATAACCAAGTGGGAAAAATCCAAACTGACAAGTATTGCTGCAGCAGCTCCAGACCTTTACGGATTACCAAAGATACACAAAGAGAACATTCCTTTAAGACCTATTGCCTCATCTATCAATGTACCCTGCTACAACTTAGCACAATACATTGGTAAGATATTGAAAACATTAATTTCCCCTACGTACAACGTAAAAAACAGCATAAACTTAAAAGAAAGGACAAAGGACATATACTTAGATAAGGATGAAATTATTGTATCTTTTGACGTAATATCTTTATTCACAAACATCCCCACACACCTCGCAATAAAAAATATCATGGACAAATATCCAAAGCAAATGTTTCTGAAGATACTAAACTTTGTTCTAAAGGACAACAATTACTTTAAATGCAACAACAACTTTTACCATCAGACGTATGGTATGCCAATGGGAAACCCCCTCTCACCCACGATAGCGGATATTATACTTGACACACTACTTGACGATGTTATTAATGAACTCAACGAAAAAGATATAAAAATTAAAATGATAACAAAATACGTGGACGACATCTTTGCGGTTATCAACAAAAATGACGAAAATATTATTCTAAATCTACTTAACAATTATCACCAAAAAATAAAATTTACAATTGAAAAGGAAGAAAATGGAAAACTACCATATTTAGACATGTTAATTATACGAGACAAAAACAAAATTTTAACTGAATGGTATACAAAAGACATATCATCAGGACGAATAATAAATTTCCACTCCACACAACCACTAAACATGAAAATCAACACAACAAAAATCCTACTTAACAAAATAATGTACTTAACAGATGAACAATTTATAAACAGAAACATTAAAAAGTATGCAGAAATATTGATGAAAAATAGTTATCCACCTCATCTTATTAAGAAAATAATCATTGACTGCCAAAAACAAAGAAAACAAAAATATAGAAAAAACTAACAAATCCAATGAACAAACTTTTGTGAGTGTACCGTACCTGCTAAATTTAACAGAAACAAAAAACCTCAAACAAATAATTAAAAGTACAACAACAATAATAGCACACAAATCCAATCAAACAATGCAAGAGATTTTCAATCGCACAAAAACAAAAGAAGACAAACAAAAACAACACAACGTTGTATATGAAATTACATGCAAAGGCAATGAGAAAGAGAAATGCGGGAAAGTTTATGTGGGCACAACAAAAAGAATGCTTGGTGTAAGAATAGGAGAACATCAAAATGATATCAATAAAGGATTAGCAAAAACAGCACTGTCACAACACACAACGGAGAGTGGCCACACAGCTCATCTAACAAATGTCAAAATTTTAGATAGGCAAAATAAGGAGAACAAAAGATATACATTGGAAAGCCTACGAATACAGCAAAGGATTGCCAGATCAATAAATACCAAAGAAGACAAAGATAATACTAAACTACAGTATTCTATTGCGATTATTTAGAAACGGTTCTGTGATTTAGCTTAAGTTTAACTGTGATTCTTATTTTATTGATTATTTATTTTTACTTTATATTAATTAAATGTTGTGGAGTCCCGTTTTATTAATATTAATAAGAAATAAATAATGCATAATTATTGATGTAAGTTAAATTTAAAGTGCAATATGTCACAAAACAAAATTCTAATAATGAAATATGTTTCTCATTTATAAACAGAATTCAATAAAAAACGCTCTTGAAAAAGTTGGAAACAAGCCAACAAAACGTTGAGCAAACTATGAAATAAATTCGTTTATTTTCATTTGATTAACTTGACCATAAAAGCCCAATAAACCCATATTGAAGTTCAGCAAGTTGAATTTAGAGTTTTCGAAAAATCTTTGAAATTTAGCAAGCTGAAAACGAATTATATGACATTTTAAAAAAAATTAAATAAGTGTAATTTTGACTTAATAAGAATAAGAATGAATAAGACAAAATTTGAAAATCTAAATTTTCTACTTTTAATTTCCACATGCTCGGCACTCCTTTGCAATTCAGCTAGCCGAATATGGAAAAATTAAAGTCTACATGCTCAGTAAATTCTCTTGCAAATTCAGCAAGTTAAATTTTGAGTTTTCGAACATTTTTTGGAACTCAACTAGATGAATATGAAACAATTTTAAAATGCTAATATCAAAATCCACATGTTCAGTACATTCCATTGCAATTCAACACATCGAATTTTGAGTTTTCGATTTTTTTTAGATTAAGTTTACTGAATACGAAATTTTTAGTTTTCGAAAATTTTTTGGAATTTAGCTAGCATGTTCATTACATTCTATTTCAATTCAGAGTTTTCGATGTTAGTACATTCTATTGCAATTCATCAAGTTGAATTTTGAGTTTTCGGAATTTTTTGGAATTCACAAAGCTGAGTTTTCGAAATTTTTTTGGAACTCAGATAGATGAATAAAAAAAAGTAAAGATTTAAAAATTTTAATTGCATAATCCACATGCTTAGTACATTCTATTGCAATTCAGCAATTTGAATTTTGAGTTTTCGAAATTTTTTTTGGAATTTAGCTAGCTGAATACGAAAAAATGTAAAGATTTAAAAATTTTAATTTCCAAGTCACATGCTAAGTACATTCTATTGCAATTCAGCAATTTGAATTTTGAGTTTTCGAAAACTTTTTGAAATTAAGCTAGCTGGATACGAAAAAGTTAAAGATTTTAAAATTTTAATCTCAAAATCCACATGCTTAGTACATTCTATTGCAATTCAGCAAGTTGGATTAAGAGTTATCGAAAATTTTTTGGAATTAAGCTAGCCGAATACGAAAAAATGTAAAGATTTAAAAATTTTATTTTCAAAGTCCACATGCTTAGTACATTCTATTGCAATTCAGCAATTTGAATTTTGAGTTTTCGAAAATTTTTTGGAAATCAGCTAGCTGAATACCAAAAAATGTAAAAATTTTAATTTTAGTACATTCTATTGCAAATCAGCAAGTTGACTTTTGAGGTTTCGAATTATTTTTTTGGAATTCAGCTAGCTGGACACGAAAAAATGTAAAGATTTAAAAATTTTAATCTCAAAATCCACATGCTTAGTACATTCTACTGCAATTCAGCAAGTGGAATTTTGAGTTTTCGAAAATTTTTTGAAATTAAGCTAGCTGGACACGAAAAAATATAAAGATTTAAAAATTTTACCTTCAAAATCCACATGCTTAGTACATTGCAATTGCAGTTCAGCAAGTTGAATTTTGAGTTTTCGAATTTTTTTTAGGAATTCTGCGAGCTGAATACTAAAAATGTATAGATTAAAAAATTTTAATTTCATAGTCCACATGCTTGGTACATTCTATTGTAATTCAGTAAGTTATATTTTGAGTTTTAGAAAATTTTTTGGAATTAAGCTAGCTGAATACGAAAAAATTTAAAAAATTTAATTTTAGTACATTCTATTGCAAATCAGCAATTTGAGGTTTCGATTTATTTTTTTGGAATTCAGCTAGCCGAATACGAAAAAATGTAAAGATTTAAAAATTTTAATTACAAAATCCACATGCTTAGTACATTTTATTGCAATCCAGCAAGTTGAATTTTGAGTTTTCGAAAATTTTTTGGAATTCAGCTAGCTGAATACGAAAAAATGTAAAGATTTAAAAATTTTAATTTCAAAGTCCACATGTTTAGTACATTCTATTGCAATACAGCAATTTGAATTTTGAGTTTTCGAAATTTTTTTTGGAATTTAGCTAGCTGAATACGAAAAAATGTAAAGATTTAAAAATTTTAATTTCCAAGTCACATGCTAAGTACATTCTATTGCAATTCAGCAATTTGAATTTTGAGTTTTCGAAAATTTTTTGGAATTTAGCTAGCTGAATACGAAAAAGTGTAAAGATTTAAAAATTTTAATTTCAAAATCCACATGCTTAGTACATTCTATTGCAATTCAGCAATTTGAATTTTGAGTTTTCGAAAATTTTTTGGAATTCAGCTAGCTGAATACGCAAAAATGTAGAGATTTAAAAATTTAAATTTCAAAATCCACATGCTTAGTACATTCTATTGCAATTCAGCAATTTGAATTTTGAGTTTTCGAAAATTTTTTGGAATTCAGCTAGCTGAATACGAAAAAATGTAAAGATTTAAAAATTTAAATTTCAAAATCCACATGCTTAGTACATTCTATTGCAATTCAGCAAGTTGAATTTTGAGTTATCGAAATTTGTTTGGAATTCAGCTGGCTGAATGCAACAAAATGTAAATATTTAAAAATTTTAGTTTTAAAATCCACATGCTTAGTACATTTTATTGCAATTCAGCAAGTTGAATTTTGAGTTTTCGAAAATTTTTTGGAATTCAGCTAGCTGAATGCGAAAAAATGTAACGATTTAAAAATTTTAATTTCAAAGTC